AGTCTCTAACCATAACCAAGCATGTGTATTAATTTGCTAAGACAGCCATAACAGAGTACCACAGACTAGTGGTTTAAACTGAACTTTATAGGGGCGCCTGGGTGGCGCAGTCGGTTAAGCGTCCGACTTCGGCCAGGTCACGATCTTGCGGTGAGTTCGAGCCCCGCGTCGGGCTCTGGGCTGATGGCTCAGAGCCTGGAGCCTGTTTCCGATTCTGTGTCTCCCTCTCTCTCTGCCCCTCCCCCGTTCATGCTCTGTCTCTCTCTGTCCCAAAAATAAATAAAAAAAAAAAAACGTTGAAAAAATAAATAAATAAATAAATAAATAAACTGAACTTTATTATCCTTTTTAGAAGTACACCAGTCCTATTGGATTAGAGCCTATACTAATCCATTTTAATCTCATTTTACCTCGATTACCTCTGTAAAGATCCTATCTCCAAGTAAAGGCACATTCTGAGGCCTTGGGGGTTAGGGCTTCACCATATAAATTTGGAGGTGGGCACAATTCAACCCATCACAGTATGTAAAATAATGTCTCTGGCACATGTAATATCTTTCTTGGATTGGTGACTAAATCATGTCTGTTCTCATTTCTCGATGTAATCTTTATAACTATGATTCTAATGGATTTGCAATGTATTCTACTTCTGGGCAGAGTAAAACAATATGTATTGTTCACTGTCATAGGAAAACCAAAATTAGCACTTTCTCCTAGGAGTCTTCCCCCCGCCCGACCCCAGTTCATATTTTCTTAGGTTGAGTTCCCTACAGTGGAATAACTGGGTATAAATTGATTTAAAAATTAAGATTTTAACACACATTGCCAAAAATGCTTTCTGAAAAACAGGTCTGCTAATTAGTAATGTCACTGGCCGTGATTAACACAGTTATTTTGGCCCAAATTGCATTGCTATCATTAATTATGTTTCCGTATTTACAAAATTGTACCTTAAATTTGCTTTAAAGTGAATTTTTCACCACCTAGATGACATTTCCCTGTATATTTTTTCACTCTTCAGTTAATCTCTGACTTCTTCACCATATTACATCTGTGTCTGCCCAGTATTGTCTTCTCAGCACCTAATAAGGCAGCACATTTTATGCACTCATACAGTGGTTAGAACAGTCAAAACACGTAGGAATGACTGCTGATTCCATCACTTAATGTCAGTGAAATCTTGAGTTATTTCCTAGGCTTACTTCCTATGCTTTGTTTCCTCACTTATGGAATGGGGATCATACTAGTCCTTGTCTCATAGGTTTCTTCTGAAGATTAAATGAGTTCATGCATACCAAATATTTAAATCAAAGCGTCTAAAATGGTAAGAAGTCAGTAAATGTAGATTTTTTTTAATTAAAATTATTATCCTAGGGGCGCCTGGGTGGCGCAGTCGGTTAAGCGTCCGACTTCAGCCAGGTCACGATCTCGCGGTCCATGAGTTCGAGCCCCGCGTCGGGCTCTGGGCTGATGGCTCAGAGCCTGGAGCCTGTTTCCGATTCTGTGTCTCCCCCTCTCTCTGCCCCTCCCCCGTTCATGCTCTGTCTCTCTCTGTCCCAAAAATAAATAAACGTTGAAAAAAAAAATTATTATCCTATACAATTTGGATATTAATTATTTTTTAAAAATTGAACGACATCTTTCTAGAGTCTAATATGGCATGTTTTTCCTCCTCCAATTGTTTCTTGTCAATTTTATGAGTGTTTTTTAAGAATCAAATTTATCAAGGTATAATGTATATACAGTGAACTGTATGTATCATCTTTAATTGTGTATTTTGATGGGTTTTGAAAATGTGTACACCCATGTAATCACTATCAAGATTAGAAAAATATCATCACTCCTACAATATTCCCTTCTGTTCCTTCCCAAGCAAGTGATCAATACCGACATGCCTTGCCCTAAGTGCCCACCAATGTGCCGTGCAGCCCCCTCCCTTCCAGAACTCTGGCTTACAGCTTGCAGAGTGATCACAGCCTCCCTGTGCTCTGATCCTCGTCTCCTCAATTCCATAAATCCACTGGCCTTTCAGATTCCTCCCCCTCATCCTGCATTTCAAAAAGCTATTAAGTAGAAAGCCAACGTATAATAGGACACACCTTATTTGTTCCCTTCATTCGAGGACAGCCCTGAAAAGAGCAGTTACATGTATTTTGTCCTAACTTCTAGTTTATTTAATAAGAAGTTAAGTCCAGTCCTTGTTAAAACATCATCATGACTATTAATGGAAGTGTACGATGCTGTTTAAAGAATTTATGTCGTAGAAGATGATAGGTTTATAATGACGAAAAATCAAGATACCTTCACATGTATGAAAGAGTTCAAAGGCACACATCTTAACAATCAAAGCATGCAACACCCTTGGTCTAGACAGTTTCCTTACGTAAATGTGAAAATACTCATTTCCCATGAAAATTTAACGAAATAAGATACTTTACATTTTTCACCAGTCATGTCATTTAAAGAGCCATCAATAGAAATTCTACTAAATTCATCAATAGAAATTCTACTAAAAATATTTGATGTCACAGTAAAGATTTGTTAAGTATTAATACAAAAAATTTAAATAAATACTACTTTAATTTATATTTAAAATTCCAATGTCTCTGTTCCTAGTTATTATACCAAATGAAAGTTTATCTGCAATCACATTTTGATTTATATTTCTTAAATAATATATAGTATTATGTTATTTATTTGTTTTATTTATTTATTCACTTATGCTTCCACTCTAATTCAGGAACTTTTTATAGTAGTGAAATTTCATTGCAATCAAAATATGGTTGGTCATTCAACAGATAAGGAAAAGTAAATAGAAATCTATAAAACATGAACAATCGTCTCCAAAGAAACCATATCCCATGTGACCACTTCAAATGTTTGCATAAAAACTTACTCAATTCAATGTACTCAAAATCTACTCAACACACACACGCACACACATGTTTAGCATATATATTTTTGTTTTTCTTTCAAATCAACACTTCCTAGTGCCTCGGAGAGTACTGGTAGACCATAAGTACCCAATAAATGTTTCTTATTAAATTATTACTATAGGAAAGAGAAGCTAGAAAGTAAAAAGAGGAATATCCAAACTTAAAGAATATATATTCAGTAGTATGCCCACATTGTTATATAAATAATAAAAATGTTTTGTTTTTTATCACAATTTGGGTAATTGGTTAACAATGGCAATGATTCAAAAGTAAAAATTGGCTAAAGGGCCATCTTTCTAAATTGCCGTATTCATTATGAAATGGTATTTACAAATGCAGTTAATTCCATACTTGTTCTTTTGGTTCTTGAATAAACTTAATGGAACCAATAACCTACTTCCTTGGTTTTAATTACCCACAGTATGTACTTTTGATGTTGCCAATTTTCCTAAAGAATAGCAAATGTTGCCTTTTACTCAATAGCTTTGATTTTGTGCATTACACGCTAAACATTTTCCTTTTCTTGCAGCAACTATCGAGCATACTGACACCCACAATGTCCCAGCATGACCAGGAGGCCTCTGGCATGTCTTCAGTGACAAGAACATAATTTTAAAGTGTTCACTTTTTAAAAGACAATATCTAACTTATCACAAATATTAAAACCAAAACAAACCTTATGGAAATTTGTGAGAAAAGGTGGTGGAAACCTATCTAGTGCTGACTTTTAAAAACGTCTATGCTTCTTTCAATCCTATATTCTTTCTTCTCTTTTATTGTTTATTCAAATATACAAGTATGTGTCTGTATGTGTGTCAGTGTATGTGTATGTGTGTGTGTGCACCATGGAGGCATCCTCTTTTATTATGACTCCAGTGTTCAAGGCATCATTCTTACAAGATGCCTTATTCTGGGGAAGTCATGGTGTCATTGATGATTGTTGAATTAAATGAACTGATGTACTGTTACTCCATTGGTTTATACTCTCCCCCAACCCCCCAAAGGCAAAAAATATTCTCTCCATCTTGATTTCTTTCTCTCTTGCATACTCATTCACAGACAAGCTAATAAATGTGCACATAAAGCTAAACTATTACATACGTTTAAATACTTTTTTATGGTGTCTTCTGAATGATCATTTGTTCCCTTTGCTTTCTGAATAATGGGAACACTATATGAGCTACATAAAACCCACACAAAGTAGGTATATTTCAAATTAACTAGGGTGACCTTTTTCTTCTCAAGTAGCAAGCATCAGGCATTGTTGAGAAACTCTGGACAAAGTTTTATTTGAATTCTTCTTTATAAATGCAACTCTCCAACAGCCTTTCTAAAGCCCTATCTATAAATGCCATGGTCAGTTGTGTGAAAACATTTACAAATGGCTTTGTTCCATGGGAGGCAGGCGTCAGGAGGAGGGAAAGGGAAGAGCTTTACCCAAGGTCTCAAAATGCATGCCAGGTTCACAGTGTTGGAGGAGGCAGAATCCTAATTAAAGTGGAGTGCAGATTGGCAATGTGGTTCAAACATGAAGTCAAAATAAAATAGAAGGGAGATTTGTGTGTGGATTGGTTAGGGATAGACAATTTATAATTTAAATATGAAAGAGTAGATAGGTGAATAGGTAAATAGATATATTCATATAAACATGGAGAAATGGACCCAATTAAATCCAACGACAGACATAAATAGGATTGAGACTTCAGGACTCTGGGAAGGGAGTGTGCTCTTGCAAAAAGGTTTCCAATTCCTGTTGCTAAGGCAGGCTGAGTTGTGGAAAGAAGCTTCACTAGGTGAATATTTACAGTTCACATAAAATTAATAATAGTTCATCGAACGTGTATCAATGCAAATACTATGCTATGTTTTCCTTAATCCTTAACAATAGTATTGTGAGGGATGCACTGAGTTTATCCCCATTGTACGCATGATGAAACTGACCTTGCTCAGGGTCATAGAGCTACCAAATAAATGACAGAGTCACAATCTTGCTTTAGGTCTCTCTGACTCCTGCACTGTCAAACGTGGTACTCACTAGCCGTGTGTGACTCTTTACATTTAAACTAACGAAAGCTTCATAAAATGAAAACTTCAGTTCTTCGGTTTGAAATGCTCAAGAGCCACGTGGGTTTAGCGGCTGCCATATTGGAAGACGGAGATACAGATTTCTCTCTTTGCATCAAGTCCCCCGGATCGGTGCTGCAAATGAACTGAATTCCCCCAGAAATTGCCAAATATCCTCTGGGGACCAAAGTCATTCCTACTTGAGATCCACATCATGATGCCACTCATATGAAGGTATGAAGGAGAAAGGAAGTTCAGCAAACTATGAAAAGATAGGCCATTATTAGAATTAAAAAAAATCGTAAAAAAAAAAAACAAAAAAAAAAAAACAAAAAAAAAAACCACCTTGTATTTCCTATTCTCTGGCAGTGGATAGCCAGAGCGTGTAAGGCCGCCAGAAAGCTTCCTTTCCCATCAAATGTTGCGGCTTTCGGGGCTCTGCCTCTCTCTCAGCCAGCCTGCTTGGCTGCTGTTTGCAACCCTGTGGATCTCTGAAGTAATACACTGACTAACTTCAAAAAAATGACTCCATGAGGAGCGCCTGGGTGGCTCAGCCGGTTAAGGCTGCGACTCTTAATTTCAGCTCAGGTCTTGACCTCAGGGTCATGAGTTTGAGCCCCGCATTAGATTCCACCCTGGGCATAGAGCCTCCTCAAAAGTGAGGGGCGCCTGGGTGGCACAGTAGGGTAAGCCTTCGACTCTTGATTTTGGCTCGGGTCATGATCTCACAGCTTGTGAGTTCGAGCCTCAAGTTGGACTTTGCACTGAGTGCAGAGCCTGCCTGGGATTCTCTCTCTCTCCCTCTCTCTTTCTCTCAAAATAAATACACATTAATTTTTCAATAAAATAAGAAATTAAAAAAACGAATCGGTGAATGAAGAAAACCAAGAAATGCACAAATGTATACCACGTGCCAGGATCTGACACTCTACGACCTTTTCACAATGAGTCGTGGTCTCATGGGATCGTTGTTAGTTCAGCTTTCCCCAGAGGCAGACCCTGAAACAAGGATTTGAGGGCAAGTAGTTCATTCGGAAAGTGGCCTCGGGAAAAACCCACCGTGGAGTGGGTTGGTGAGACAGGCAAGGGAATACAAGAAACGAAGCGTGTGTTACCAGTTCGGTTACCATGATGGGTAACTGGAGTATGATCCCACTGAGGAACTCTGGGTTAGCGAGGATCCTGTTTCAGGGCTATCCCGCATAACTCCGACAAGTGGAAGAGAACGAGGGAATGTGCACACCAACTCTTGTCAGCCTCGAATCGAAGGCTCCAGGGAAGTGGCAGGTCATTTATCAATTCTGCAGCAATTCGAGCTTGCCCTGGACAAGCAGAACGATCTCAAGTCAATGAAAGCTCTGTGGTGGTTGGCAGTCCCTGTGTAATTAAAGAGCTCTAGGCGATGGGGCAGGGCACAGACAGCCTGTCAGAACACCCAACAGGAAGTAGAGTAAATAGACATCCGTAAACGTACCTCTAAATTTCCACCTATATATCTACCCCGGACACAGGTGATTAACATAGAAGTTAAGAATGTGTGAAGTCAGGCGGACCTTTAAATTTTTTTTTTTCAACGTTTATTTATTTTTGGGACAGAGAGAGACAGAGCATGAACGGGGGAGGGGCAGAGAGAGAGGGAGACACAGAATCGGAAACAGGCTCCAGGCTCTGAGCCATCAGCCCAGAGCCTGCCGCGGGGCTCGAACTCACGGACCGCGAGATCGTGACCTGGCTGAAGTCGGACGCTTAACCGACTGCGCCACCCAGGCGCCCCCAGGCGGACCTTTAAAGAAAGTCATGCAAGTCTCTAAAGAAAGTACTTTTCCTGATGGGCAGCATACGCTGAACCCCAAGTAGTCATGTTAAAGGGGGAAACTCCTCAAATACGGAAGAATCAGTGTAGAGCTTTATCTGCTGACGCTTCCACCCTGTTCTCCATATACTCAGGCCAGATTAGGTTCTCTCTTTGCTGCATCTGCTTCTTATGGATTATGGCCATTTAATCACCACGATCTGTAGGGTGGGTGCTATTGAGATAGTAATTTTTATAGATGACAATATTAAGGCTCAGTCAGAGTGGCTTGTCAAAGACTACACCACTAATAAAAAGTGAACAAACCTAGGGAATCTTCCCTAAGGAGCCATGTTCTTAAAGATTATGCTATTTTGTCTTCTAATAGAAGGAATAGACGTGGGTGGTGAATTCTACTGTTTCTAAAGAGGAAGCGACATCTGGAAAACTGGTACCACAAAATGTCATGGACAAGAGAGGCAAGATCAACAAAGCATTTTTAGGGTCACTACAGAAAAGAAGAACCTAACTCATTTTGGGGAAGAACTCTCTCCCTCTCTCTCTCTCTCTCTCTCTCTCTCTCTCCCCGTGTGTGTGTGTGTGTGTGTGTGTGTGTGTGTGTGTGTATAGTGTCACGACGTTATAATGGCTCTCAAAATCAAAAAACTGAAAATGACAAAACTTAAAAGCTTAAGTTTAGAGCAACAGTTACAGACATTTTTAAGCAAAATCGCTTCATAAATATTTTAAAGTATGTGATAACTGTCATTCTTAAAGGCTTTCTCTCCAGGATGTTCTAGAACCCTCGAGATACGAGGAAGATAGTGTCTTGTATTCATGGACTTAAGGTACAGAGATTCAGGATATCAGAGCTGACAGCAGACCATCAACTGAAAATCAAAAACCAGGAAACCCAGGGGAAGATAGAGGGCCTCATCTGCTGGAAGACCTTCCAGCAGCGACTTGAAGACCTCATCAGAAAAAATAGATTTCCAGGATTCATCATGACAGGGGGCTAGACCTCAACTCCTGCTCCTATGGAAAATATAGACTTTTTTATCTGGAGAACACAGCAAACCCAGGTTACACTTTAGGCATATCTCCTCCTCTTTAAAGCTGTTCTCATACACATCAAGCTCCACGAACAGCTCCAGAATCCATGGTTGCCCAAAAGTATGTGTGCAAATCAATGCTTAATAATGGCCCTCTACTGAATATTCAAATACAATTTAAATAATATTCAAATGGCTCTCAAAAATATAAGCTGTCCACTAAGAAACAGCAAGGAAGGTCTTTAAGGATTTCTCAAAGATATTCAGGCTTGAAGTGTCTGTTTGAGCCACACTATTTTGACAAAGTGTCAAAGGAGTCAAATTATACATAAGCATCCCCTGGCCCCTCACCCCCAGCCCCACGGGCTTCCGTCCACTTAGCTGCCTTTGCTTTTTCCACTGGCAGTTTACCAGCGTTTTTGATCCTAGTTTTGTGACACTCAGGAGTCTCCAAGTACCTTGAGGACTATCAGATTCCCATAATGAGATTAATTTTAGTTCACTTCAATTTAAAAAGCAAATATATGTCAGACTGTACTTTTAGGAAGAGAAAATGACACCATGAAATTAAAGGTCTTCGCCTCTTGGCAGCCTGACAGGGCTGACCTTGAGCAGAAGCAGACAGTATTTTCTCTGGGGTGTCTTCCTCCCCCCCTCCTTCATTCTAATCAGTACCCACTTCTCAGGAGGCCACTGCAATCTGCTGGTTTGCTCCTAGCTGCAATGACCGGGACAGCCAGCATTCATGGGACATCAACTATATGCGAGGCATCGCCCTAGGAAAGCGGTGCATTTCTAACTCTCACAGCAACCCGCTAAGTCAACAACTGAACTCCCGTTTTACAGATCAGGAAAGTCTCTCAAAGAAGTTAACTGTCTTGTGCAAGGAACTTGAATAATAAGTGGATTGGCTAGGAATCAAAAATTTCTCTGGCTCCAAACCCCTCCTTACATGCTAATGAGGAGAGAAGATTATTTGCTGTTGTCGCTCTCTTCACTTTAACCTTTGCCTACTAAGATGTTTACTTATATGTTGGAATCTACCTCCGATGCATTAAAAGACAGGCTAGTTTTTCCTGAAACCCCAAACAGAAGTGATGAGCAACTAAGGTTTGAAATCAAGAAGTCAAACACAATGAGCGCTGATTGGTAGGGTGTGAGGTTCCTTCATGGCATAAAGACACACAGGACCGATGCAGAGCTTGAAACTGAGTAATCAATCAACTAAAGAGCTATTAACCTAATGTTCTTAAAAAAGAAATCTCATAATGGGAGGAAGCAGCAAAGAGGAAGAGTTTGAACCAACAGAGTAAGAGGCAGGCATGATCAAGAACAGTAACAGACAAAGGGAAAAGTCAGGGAAAATAAAGCAGGTGTAACACCACCGGCTTTCATTCAACGAGTACTTACAATTCATTAGGCTCCATGAACCATACTTACCTTTCATCATCTCCTATAACCATCAGAAATGTTATGAGAATGTCCAAGATTCCTCTGCTAGGATCTGAACTTAGATATATCTGATTCCAGGATATTTCATAACCCCCACGATAATTAGAAATGGAAGAAGGTCCACTAAATGAAATCAGATTTAGAAATGATAAGTTCTTTTATGACTGGTACCTTTAAGGATACAGATAATGAGGAATCAGTTTCCTCATACTACGTAATCATGTTCATAATATTTGAATTTATATTAAAAATCTTGTGTCACCAAGAAAAGCTTGCACTTTGTTTAGCCATCTTCTCTTTCAAAAGGCAGAGGTTCATCTAATGTACCTAAGAAAGTTTTATGTGTTTATTTATATTTACTTAATACTGATACTTTTAATTGTTTATTTTTTAATGTTTATTTATTTATTTATTTATTTATTGAAAGAGAGACAGAGAGAGAGAGAGCACGAGCAGGGAGGTGCAGAGAGAGAGAGAGACACACACATACAGAATCCAAAACAGGCCCCAGGCTCTGAGCCATCCGCACAGAGCCCGATGTGGGGCTGGAACCCATGAACTGTGAGATCATGACCTGAGCCGAAGTCGGACACTTAACTGACTGAGCCACCCAGGCATCCCAATATTGACCCTTTTCAAAGCAAGCTTCAGTCTGGAGAAGGAAATCAAGGGCAATACATTTTTTCTTTTTTTCACAGTCCTTAACTGTGGCTGTTATCTTATACCTCCTTACTTTTGGTCCATTTGTTCACATTACAATTCCTTGCCTTTCCAAGGCACAAGTCAGAACACTCACATTTTCAGTCTCCTCTGCAGCTGGGTGCAGGCACATGACCAAGCCACTAACAATTAGAAGGACCCATGGAGACGTGGATTTGGAGGAGAGCAACACAAGAAAAGCGCCACACATTCCATGCAGACTCCATGTTCCGCAACGGCAGGGGCAGGCATGGAGCTCTCAGGGCCCCGGGGACCAGTGTCCATATCCTAGGTTTCTAGAAGCCATGGCAGCAGATGCCTGACTAAGGATGTCTCCACCTCCACTTGCCTTGCTTCGACCCATTGTCAGCAATGCCCTCTCCTTTCGTCGTTTGTCAACAGTCATGGAGGAATAACTTCCTAGTCTGGCTGTAGCCCTCCAGGAAATTCTAAGCTGATACGCTTGTCTGCTTAAACCTAATACACTCATCAGCCTGATCTAGCCAGCATGCAGTCTGTTGTTTACAGCAAAGAACCCTGATATGCATTCAAACACAGCCTCATGAAAGAGGTGCTGTTGAACTAGCTTTCGAAGCGCTGGTATCTTGAAGAAGGACACTGGTTTAGTGAAAATACGACTTCTGGACATATATTGAGAGAACGTTTTATCTTAAGATTTTGAACTCATAGGAAGTTGGGGTTTTAAAAGATTTAAGTGGTTGTCTTAGTTTTTATACCCTTGTTTTATGGACTAAAAGGACTGCAAGTCAAAGAGATTAAATGACTTGGCCAGAGGCACCTCTACTGATTAAACACTGAGCAGGAACGAAAAGCAGTTCTGTGACTTGTGTTCAGTGTGTTCGTTTGGCTCCCCACAGGTTCTCTTGGACACAGGTTCACTCTGACCTTGTTCAGGTCCAAGGCTGGGTAAGAAGCATGTCTCCAAGTTCCTTCATTGAGGTAAACTCAATCTGGAGCAAACTGGGCACCAGGGGAAACTGTCTGATTTCTCCTATTGATCCCAAATTACCTGATGGCTTTGTGTGATTGGAAAAAAAATGGGTAAAAAAGAACGGGAAGACAAAAAAATGTGGACAATAAGGAAACTAGGGATTTTTTTTCTTATAGTAAAAGGTAAATTTCTGCGTTCTAGTTTATTTAGATTCAATTCTACACACATTCAAGATGTTTGGATGTGTCCTCTTGTTGATCCTTGTTGATCATCCTTTGTACGAATGTGTGTAGTTGTATCTAAAGGTCCATGACAGCTCCTACCGGGTGGGACATTGGAGAGGAGATATTCCCTAGATGCTGGGATCCAGGTGTTGGGTGCCACAAACCATCCTATGTAACAGGGAAAAGGAAAGAAACATGTCTCTGCTAGCCCAACTGTGGAATGTCCCAGGCCTGAGGTCCACTCGCCCAGTGGTACAGAAGTCAGAGTATATGATTAATGCTCATGGATGTTGTTTCCTGCTCCCTTGATCAGGGTCCAATAAGGACCTCACGAAATTGCAACATTAGCAACTTAATCCCTTCTCCTTCAGTTGCCTTTATATTCATTATAATAAAAAGAGGAGATGAGAAGAACATTCAGGTTAGATATAAGCTATATTTATAGAGAGCAGCACACTGTTTTCATATATCAGTAGGTCACTACAACCCCAGGGACATGATGGCACCACCTTTCACCTTGATTGATAGGGAGAATTCTATTCTATATCCGAGAGAACACATTGCATCGTGCGTAACAAATGGTTCAGGACCTCTATCAATAATTAAGTATGTCCCCTTGAGTATGTTATTACCTAGTCTTCTGCAAGCCTTGGTTTCTTTCCTTGTAAATTGGGGCTAAAATATCACTTATCTCATAAAGATATTTATAAGAAGCACTTCATATACAGCGCCACATAGAGAGTAAGCACTTGACCAATGCTAGATGTGCTGCACAAATATATATTTATAACAGCCATTTACCTTCTTAAGCAGTTCTAATCTCCTGATGTTTTCAGAAGGCTCCTGATTCTATGATCTGCTGCCACAGCATCTGGTCAAGTTCAGGCTACATATAGTCGGTGGTCTCTAGCTTAGGATATATCCAGGATCGTATAAATCCTCTACTGCCGTCCTATTCCCAAGCAGAGGTCACATTGCCAGCTCTGTACGGAGAAACAGCGGATACACAGTGGGTGCAGGGGGGCGGGAGGGGGAGCGGGGAGGGCAACAGCAATTTCAAACATTACTCACAAAAAATAAGTTTAAGTTCTTAGATCCATTACACCGAGGATGCCACCGTCGGGCATAAATCTTTAATGTGACAGCAGCAGTAAACACCCCTGCACGCAGCTGCTTGGCTCTATATTGAGTTAGAATAAGGCCGTAATTGCCGAATTTAGGTAAGACTTCCCTCCACATCTGACATGGCTTGAGTATAATGTTTAATGTGCTCTAGTCTTTTCTTCCAGTCTGCAGACTTCAATGTGGAGCCCTGCTGACTCTGCCTTCTTACTCCAGAGCTTTTTACTTTCCTTTCCAAAGTGAACTTTCCTCTTGGCTTTAGAAAAGAGTAGGTTAGAGTAGGTCAGGAAGGTTACTAAAGGGAAGGAAATGTCCTTCCCTTCACCAGGCTGTAACCTCCTCTAACAGTACAGAGGAACATCACTGAACCTTTCTTTCAGAGGTCTGTGCTGGCACGTTCTGGTCAGATGGACACACATCTTATTCATAAAGAATAAGATGGGGGGGGGGGCGCCTGGGTGGCTCAGTTGGTTAAGTGTCCAACTTCAGCTCAGGTCATGATCTCACGGTTCGTGGGTTCCAGCCCCGCGTCGGGCTCTGTGCTGACAGCTCAGAGCCTGCAGCCTGTTTCAGAGTTTGTCTCTGGCTCTCTCTGCCCTTCCCCCGCTTGTCTCTCTGTCTCTTAAATAAATACACATTAAAAAATTTACAAAAAAACAAAGAATAAGATGGTAGGGCTTCTCTTAGTAAGATGCTTTATTTAATGATTTGCATCATTAGAAAATAGCTAGTTCAAATTCCACCTGCAATTTGTTATCAATACTAATGTACCAGACTAGGTGTCAGAAGTTAGTCTGAATATATTTTAGCACTGGCAAATTTCAGTGTATATATATTTGCTATTCTTGTTGCCCACCCCCGTAATCTGTGTATAAATTACAGCTCTACTTGTATCTGATTCATTCTGAGGTTTTTCTGGTAACGCCACTTACACTAATGAAACAATAATTTGGTTTGGAACAATCTCCCTCATTGGCTGGACTTAGGCTTGAATTTACAATCAACTTTTCTGACCCATATCTTTTTTCTTTGTTACACGTCGAGATCTGAGCTGTCCAATACAGTAGCCACAGCCACATGTAGCTATTTATGTTTTGATTTAAATTAATTAAAATGAAATTAAAAGTAAGTGCCTCAGTTGCACTAACCACATTTCACGTGCTCAACAGCCAAATGAGGCTAGTGGCTAACTTAATTGGACAATACAGAGAACATTCCTATCTACAGGAGAAAATATGTTCAACAACATTGTTCTAGAAGACATGTGAACAATTGTAAAGGCAAAGTGATAGTAATAGCATTAATTAAAAGTACTCATTTGTTAGGCAGTTGAGAAATTTATCAAGCAATTCTGTGGACTGGATACTATTATTATCCTCATTTTAGAATTTGAGCAAGCATGACTAGTGGGGTATAATTATAAACAATTTAAATTGTGTCTCCCACTATCTTGTAGATACGCTCAATGGGATGGGGCTGTTTTTATTCTTCCCTACTCCTATGTGAAAACTTAGACTCATTTTTTCTGGTCACTCTAAGGAAATTCTACAATGACTTTAAGTCAGAAAACACAGTATCATTTCAGTAATTAGAATTTCTGGTCCCAAGTAATTATCAAAGGTCTGAAGCTGACTTAAAACTGAGGCTTCTCCCCTTTTGCCGTCTGAGCCCATCGTTGGCAGAAAGACGTCATGTGATAAGGGAAGTTTGCCTGGCTTCTTTCGTTTCTCTGCTTAGCACAACTTTTCCTCCTCTTTCAGCTTGAAAAGCACAGCTGGTTTTAAGAGAACACGTTTATTATGGTCTGAATGTTTGTGTCCCCTGAAATTCATACACTGCAAGCTAATACTCAGTGTTATTGCATTAGAAGGAGGAAACTTTGGGAAGTGATTAGGCAGGTTGTGAGGGTGGAGCCCTCATGAATGGGATTAGTGCCCTTATAAAAGAAGCCCAGGGAATCTCCCTCATCCCTGACACCCATGCACTATGTGAGGTTACAGCTAGAAGCACTGGTGATGAACCAAGAAGAGGCCTCTCATTGGATGCTGCCATGGTCTTAGACTTCCCAGCCTCCAAAACTGAGAAATAAATGTTTGTTGTTTATAAGCCACCCAGTTTATGATATTTTTGTTATTACAGACTGAACTAAGAGTACTTTCATTGACAATTCTATGGGTGTTCCAGTGGTTTTGCCATTGCTCAGGACATTTCTACACTTCCTTTGTCAAGCAAGGTCCAAAAAGGTATCTATGCTGTGGGTTGAGGGGATGGGATATAACTTCCTTCATTTTTAGTCCCAGGAACCTGACTAGGCTTCCATTTCTTCCATGGAGGTCTGTTTGCCTTTCCAGATCACTGGGAAAAGGCCAGTGAGTATTCTATATCACATCTTCTCCATGCTTGTGAAATAACCTCTGATCCATGGGAAACATTCACACATCCTCTTTCCTAAATAAACTCTGGAGATTTCAATTAATAGAGCAGCAAACTCTCCTATTTCCACCATCAGAGTGTTTAGCCAGCCAGTTTTTCATCCTTTAGATTAAACAAATGTTGCAGCTACCAAGCACACTGTGTCCTCCAAAGTCCTGGAGATAGTTGTTAATAAGCCTTCAGGATAGTCACCTTCAAGCTACTACTTTGTAATTGAGAGGGCTGGGACTCACGGTGTAACTCTCACAAAAGATATTTCCCTAATCTCTAGCTCTAGAATTTTTTTTTCATACTCCCAATGTGGCTGAATAGTTTATAAGCCACTTAACAGAATTTTTTAGTATTTCCTCCATTTTTCGAAGAATACATGTCAATAATTTTTAGTATAGTCATAGAATTGTGCAGCCATCACCGTATTAAATTCTAAGACATTTCATCCCCCCCTCCAACCACACACACACACACACACACACACACACACACACACACACACACAAAGAAATACTGTATACATTGGCAGTCATTCCCCATTACTCCTAATCGCTTCAGCCCCAGGCAACAAATAATCTACTTTTTGTCTCTATAGATACGCTTATTCTGGATATTTCATTTAAATAAAATTATACAATATGTTGTCATTGGTAACTGGCTTCTTTCTTTTAATCTGTTTTCCAGATTTATCCATGTGTTAAGGTGTTTAAATAGACTATTCTTTTTCATCGTCAAATAATACTGCATTGTATGGACATATCACATTTTGTTTACCCCTTCATCAGTTAATGGACATTTAGGTTGTTTCCACATTTTGCCTATAATGAATAATGCTGCTATGAACATTGGTATAAAGATTTTTGTGTGGACATAGGTTTTCACTTCTCCGGTGAATATAGAGAGACGTTGAGTTGCTGGGTCACATAGTAACTCTATGCTTAATATTTTGAGGAATTGCCAAAGTGTTTTCTAAAGGATCTATATCATTTCACATTCTGATCAGCCATGTATGAAAATTTTTATTTCTCTATATTCTTGTCAGCACTTATTATCTGTCTTTATTATAGTCACCCTAGTGAATGTGAAGTAGTACCCCATGTGGTTTTGATTTGCATTTCCCTGTTAGCTAGTGATGTTGAGTGTCTTTTCATTTGCTTATTGCACATTTGCATATCTTCTTTGAAGCAATGTCTATTCAGATCCCTTAGCCATTTTTTTTAATTCCGTTATCTATCTTCTTAAAATGAATTATAGTTTTACTTACACATTCTGGATATCAACCCTTTATCAGATATATGATTCGCCAATATTTTGTTCCATGATGTGTGTTGTCATTTTACTTTTTTGATGATACTGTTTGTAGCACAAAGCTTTGGATTTTGACAAAGTCCGATTTATCTTTTTTTTTTTTTTCTTCTGTTGCATATGCTTTTGGTGTCATACCCAAGGTTTGCTTAACCCCGGGCCACAAGGGGAAACTCATAATTTTTGTAAGAATTTGGTATTTTCAGCCCTTATATTTAGGTCTTTGATCCATCTTGAGGTATTTTTGTATATGATTTAGAGAAGGGGTCCAACTTCATTCTCCTGCATATGGATATCCAGTTGTCCCACTACCATGTGTCAAAAGACTATTTTTTTTTACCATATTGAATTGTCATAGCACCCTTGTTGAAAATCATTTGACCATAAATATAAAAGTTTATTTCTGGACCCTCAATCCTGTTTCATTGATCTATATGTCTGTACTTATGCCAGTACCATACTGTCTTAATTGCTGTAACTCTGTAAGAAGTTTTGAAATCAGGAAGTGTGAGTCCTCCTACTTTGTTCTTCTTTTTAAAGATGACATTGACTATTCATTTCCATGTGAATTTTAGGAAGGGCTTGTCAATTTCTACAGAAAAGGAAACTGGAATTTTGATAGGGATGCATTGGTTCTGTAGATCATTTGGAAGATATTGCCATCTTAATAATATTAATTCTTCTGCTCCAGGAATATGCTAAGTCTTTCCATTTATTCAGGTCTTCTTTATCTTAACAATGTTTTACAGTTTTCAGAGTACATATGTTTATTTTTTGCTAATTTTTTTCCTAAGCATTTTATTTTTTGATGTTATTTTATAATATAAGAAATTATTTTTTAACTTCATATTCTGGTTGTTTTTTTCTAGTGTACCAAAAAAAAAACAAAAACCAAAAAAAAACCAAATCGTTTTTGTATACTGCTCTTGCATTCTTCAACTTTTCAGAACGCCTTGATTATTTAAATTGTTTTTTGTACATTCTTAAGGATTTTCTTTTTCTTTTTCATTTTCTTTTTCTTTCTTTTAGAGAGAGAGAGAGAGTGCAAGGAGGGAAGGGGCAGAGGGAAGAGGTAGAGAATCTCAAGCAGGCTCCATGGACAGCGCAGAGCCCTATGGCAGGCTTGATCTCACAATCATGAGATGATGTCCTGAGCCGAAGTTCAGAGTCAGATGCTTAACTGACTAAGCCACCCAGGTGCTCCCACTTAAAAATTTTCTATATCCAAGATCATGTCATTTACAAATAGAAATAGTTTTACTTCCTCCTTTTATGCCTGGATGGGTGAATGGATGGATAGATGGATGGATAGATGGATAGATGGATAGATTCATTCATTCATTCATTCAGCTGAATTGCACTTGCTGGAACCTTAGCATAATGTTAAATAGAAGTTGCAAAAGCAGACTACTTTGCCTTGTTACTGATCTTGGGGGAAAGCATACAGACTTTCCTCAGTACGTATTAATGCTCACTATATTCTTTGTTCTTTTTTTAAAATATATGACTTTTATCTAGTTGAGAATGCTTCCTTTTATTCATAAACAGTGTCAGATTTTGCCAAGCATTTTTTTGTTTCTATGGAAATAATCATGTGTTCTTTTTCCTTTATTCTGTTAATATATTACATTAATTGATTTTCAGAAGATAAATAACCTTATATTCTTGGGATAAATCCCACTTTCTTACAGAGTGTAATTTTTTTATATTTTGCTGAATTTGATTTGCTAGTGTTTTGCTCAGGATTTCTGCATATATGTTAATAAGGATATTAGTAAGTTTTTTTGAGGGTTTTTTTTTTTTTTGGTCTGGTTTTGGGAGCAGAATAATACTGATCTTACAAAATGATTTTAGCAGTGTTTCCTCCTCTTCTATATTTTTTGAAAGTTTGTTGAGATCATATCAATTGCTCTTTAAACTTTTTCTTTAAAAACTCACCAATGAAACCATCTGGACCTAGAATATTTTATGAAAAGTTTAAAAATTTTCAATTTCCTTACTTGTTACAAATCTATTCATATTTTCTCCTTCTTCATACATTGATTTTGGTAGTTTATGCCCCTCTAAGAATTTCTCCATTACATCTAGGTTATCTCATTTTTTGGCATACAATTCCTTATAATATTCCCTAACACTGATTTTTATTCCTGTAAGGTGGGTAGTGATGTCGCTCTTTAACTTCTGATTTTAGTAATTTGAAGTGTTCTCTTCTTTCTTAGTGTACCTAGAGTTTTGCCAGTTTTTTTGATCTTTCCAAAGAAACAAGTTTTATTTTGATTGATTTTTTCTGTTACTTTTCTGTACTCTGTTCTCTTCATTTTCACTCAAAGCTATATTATTTTCTTTCTTCCATTTGCTTTGGATTATATTTTTCTTCTTTTTTTCCAGTGTCTTATGGTAGAATTATTATTTGAGATATTTTTTTAATACAGATATTTGTAGATACAAATTTCTCTCGAAGAATTCCTTTCACTGAATTTCCTAAGTTCTATTAGGTTGTGTTTTCATTTTCACTTGTCTCAAAGTATTTTCTTATTTCTTTGTTGATTCATTTAAAGTTGTGTTATATAATTTTCGTAGATTTGTGATTTTCTCAATTTTTCTAACATATTTTATATGATTCTATTCCTTTTAAATTTATTAAGGCTTTTTTTCTGGGCGCCTGGGTGGCTCAGTCGGTTAAGCGTCCTACTTTGGCTCAGGTCGTGATCTCGCGGCCTGTGAGTTGGAGCCCCACATCGGGCTCTGTGCTGACAGCTCAGAGCCTGGAGCCTGTTTCAGATTCTGTGTCTCCCTCTCTCTCCGCCCCTCCCCCATTCATGCTCTGTCTCTCTCTGTCTCAAAAATAAATAAATGTTAAAAAAATTTAAATTTATTAAGGCTCTTTTCTATGGCCTAGCCATAAAAATATTCTCCAGGGTCTATCCTGGAGAATGTTCCATGTGTACTTAGAAGGAAAAGTGTTTTGCTGTTTTGAGATATAGTATTCTATAGACATTCTACATATATCTGTTAGGTGTAGTTGGTTTCTAGTCTTGTTGGAGTCTTCTGTTGGTTTATTCTATTGGTTTATTTATACTATCTCCATAGTAGTTAAATTCCTTATTGAAAATGAGGTATTGACATCTCCAACAATTATTGTGGACTTGTCTCTCTCTTTTTTTTAATTCTGTCATTTCACACTGTGTGTTTGGGAACTTTGCTATGTTCCTGTGCGTTTTTAAGTATTAATCTTCTGGATGGATTGACCCATCTATAAATTCTGCAATGTTCATCTTTGAATATCTCCTTCGAAAATGTACTCCTGGCCTAAAGCTACATTCTGACATATGGTGCATTGGTAAGTTTCATTTTAACACTCCAATTTAATATTTTTCATAGAAGCTAAGTTGCTTGCCTAGTGTTTAGCACTTAGAAAAGAAAATCAGTACTTAGGATTGGGCTAATTATTTATATTGCTCCCACTTTGTTTCTGACCCCAAGTCATTTGGTGAGAGCCTAAATATCTGACATCAATGTAAGGCTCTTGGGAAGAAACTGGTTGCAGTTGAAATGTAGGTGCTTTAGAATCATACAGGCTTGGATGCCCATTCCATTTCTCTATTTAGTGATCTCTTCATTCCCTCCTGTATAACACAGAAGAAAAAATTTTCCTTCTTAAAGTCCTTATGAAATCTCTATGAAATAATGTATGTAAGATACATAATTTATCAAAGTAATTTGAATGTCATAGTTTATAAACTATTAGTGTCCTTGACATGTTTTTCTTATCTGGGTTAATAATTCTAATTTTTAAAAATTTACTTCAAGTTAAGGAAAAAAAAAGGGAAAGTGATATAGGCAAGATAGAAAAATCAATTGAAGAATACATGGAGATTTGATCAGATACATATTGACTTGTGAAAAGAATAGAATAAGTAAAATTAAAAGGCAAAGAATTTCTGGGGAAAATATGGTTTTCAGTGTATTTCCTCAAAAATCCTAGAATCCAAACCAAAATTCAAACTACTAAAAATAAAAACTGGAGGAAAGTATAAGCAGGGGTTTCACAGAAGGAACTATTCAACAATGTCATGAAGAAAATATTCTAGTTTTTAAAATGAAATATCATATTCATATAATAGACTAGCAAACAATTAAAGATATGTAGACTATACAATACAGAATGTAGAGAAATGAGAATTGTTAGACTTTTATGGAGGAAACATGTATTGTTTAAAGCTTTTTGAAAAGTAATCTGTCATATCTATTAAAATTTAAATTGTTAATATATTTTAGCCACTCTCACTTTTGAAACCATTTCTATACAAATAAAAGCACCAGCTATAAGTTGGTATGGCAGTAAACATTTTTCTGGTGTTGAAATCCTACCAATGTATTGAATTCTTTTTGTATGGAGAATGACTGAATAAAATGTCATACATTCAGACTATAGAATATTATAGAGCTATAAAAAAAAAAAACAACCTAAGTTACACCTGCTCATATTGACTAGGAGGGAGTTTCATTTGTAAGTGAAAAGGGGATTTATAGAGCACTGTGTTCGGTATAATGTAATTTTTAAAGAACAAAAATTTAATACATTATATATATATACATATATATACACAATATATACACATGTCTATATGCATATAAGTTGTATATTTGTATGAAATTAGAATAAAATGAGGAAAGCTACACCTTCAATGTATTAGCATTTGCTACCTCCAGGAATGACACTAGAAAAAGAAGACAACATTCTTTATTTTTTTATATTATACTTTTGTATTCTTTGACTTTGACAAGAAACAGGTATTATAATTTTAAAAAATCCAATATATTGTTAAAGAAACAAGAGAAGAGGAGAAAAAACGATGAAGGCAAAGGAATAAAGAACAGCAAGAGAAGATGATAGAAGAAATATCACAGGATAGGTCTGAAACAGAATAGGTGTGAAATCCAAAAAACTCAGCACTGGATCACATACTTTGAGTCACTTAAGACTGTCAAACGAGAAGAGAGGAGCAACCGACCAGTCTCATTTCTTCACTTTGGAAAGAATTGCTTCAGCAACTGTGGATACCTTTCCATATCTGTGATATTGCATTTTTAATCTGCTCTTACCTGTCAAAAGATACTTCCGTTTTCTGTGGCAAGCGCCATTGTGAATTTACACTGCCCTTGAAGAAAGACACTCATGGCATCAGAGACATCAAATTCCAATCAAGCTTTCTCCTGGAAATTAAGCACATGAGCATTTGGTTTTAAAATCAATCAATAGGTTTCCATAAGAGGGGACCATCATGGAAGTTAATTTGGTAGCTGGTCATAAATCTCAATCCCATTAGATATGTTCATCCCTAGATGATATTTAAAAATCATGAAATATTATTCTGTCTCTTGCACTTAAAAATGGCAAAGGCAGTAAAGGAAAGTAACAATGGATAGGTTTAATATGCTTTCATTTTCTATGAAGCATCCCTACACTAACAATTGACTTATTATTTATCAAATCAACACACACACACACGCATGCACGCAAATAATATTTACAAAAAAAAAACAAGCTAGGGAATATGCCTTTGTAGATTTGGAGGATTAACCATAGTGTGTCATTTTAGTGTTAATGTTTAAAAGAGTCTATATCTGGAAAGTGATTTTAGATACTATGTGCACAAAAAGAATACCTTATCTTTGTCATAAATATAAATACCATTTTTTACAGATATTAACATACAGTGTTCTTTCATAAGTTTGATAATAGTGATTTTTATTTTCATCCTTTCCATAAAAAGTCCTTAGGAGCTTTCCCCTTAATGAAAAAGAAATATTGTTCTTATAACTCTTATAGATTGTTTTGGAACCGAGAGGTCTGATGCAGGCTAGAAAACATTGAAAAACAATTCTAGTAAATGCCATTTGTTCACTGTATTATAATTCTTCAGATTTTCACATCGTATATTTGCATAAAAATGCTTGTGACTCATATTCACTTTTAAAAATGCTCTAAGAAACGAAAATGGCGGTAGTAGTATTTAGTGTTGTACTATTTTGTGTGTGTGATTTAGTTTCTAAATCAAATCATCCTTCTAATATATTTTAAGTCTTATCTTGTATCTCAATATTTTACTCCCAATACTCCCTGTCTGTCCTTCTCAGAGCGTTGCTATTATGACTAAGGGCTCTTTCCGTTTTGGGTAATATCTCTTAAATAATGTTATGGAGCCTCATCAACTGTTTTTACTCTGTTCCTTGTTTGGGATAGCATACAGCACAGCTGCTTCTAGACATAATTTCCTCCAAATATATGTATTTAATACTTTTAACATGTTTTCACTTATACTGAAATATATTCATGAGTAAAAATGTGTATATATATTCAGGTATATCTAAAGACAACAAATTTAACAAACACCTTTATAAAAATATTAACATTTCCATAATCAGAAGCCATATTGCCTATAATCTGGCACAAAAAGAGATTTCTAATTTAAGATACCTGGCAAATAATACAAGTCAATAGAATAATACTGTCTTCTAAAAGAGAAATTAAAACACACTAAAATATGCCAGAACCTCAGTGGTTTATAACTTCTAGTTCACAGTCTTTTTACTTGCCACATTATCCTGTGTATTTATTCTTCTGTTGGTGTATATTGTTAATATCGCTGATTCATATTTACAACTGCAGTTTTGAATACTTGATTAGTTTTCTATCTTCCTTTATTTCTGATATCAGATATGCTTCCTACATTAATGATGGAATGCTAATACTAAAAGGTATGGGCACTGTCTATGGACCAGCACAATTCTATGCACTTCATAGAAATATTATTTTCTGTTCTTCCCGTAGGCAGTTTCTGTTTTTATTATTTCCATTTCATTGACAAGAAATCTGAGGCATAGAGAGGTTGAGCAAATTGGCCAAAGTCAGAGTTAAGTGTCAAAGACTAACACCAAAGTTTCAACAATTGGATAATAACTAAGATCTACTACATAGACTAGACATTTGAAATGTCAAGAGTTTGGAATTTATGTGTATCAAATATATCATTCTGTATCACATGATACCCGAAAACTTAATGGCTAAGATCAACATTTTTTTTTTTTTTTTTTTTTTAATCTCACAGTTTCTCTGAGTCAGGAATGTTGAAGTGGCTTGGCTGATGCCTCTGGCTGTAGATCTATCATAACAATGTAATCAAGGTTTCTACTTAGTCTTGTGGTCTCAGGTTGGAGGTGTGGCTGGGAGAGAATCTTTTTTTTTTTTTTAATCTTCTTCTAAGCTCACTCACATGGCAACTGCTGGGCTCAGGAGATCCAAGCTCACCCATGTGACTGTTGGCCGACTGAAGGCTCTTGCTGGATATTGGCCAGACATAATAGTTCCTGTTCATTTGGGCCTCTCCAGAGCTTTACTCACAATGCGGCAGGTTTCCTCAGAGAAAGCAAGGGAGAGACCAAGGGAGGGTCCACGATGGAAACCACAGTCTCTTTTTAACCAATTTTTGCAAGGGACACCAACTACTTTCGCCATAATCTGATTATTAAACGTGAGTCACTAGGTTCAGCTCACACAAGAAGACACTGCAGAAGGGCGTAAATACCAAGAGGCAAGGATAATTGGGTGTTATCTTAGAGGCAGTCCACCAATGGTGGGATCTCTTGTTTTGATTCAGACTCTGGTACCTAATAGTTTTATGACTTCAGCAAGTCACAGCCACTAATTTTCTCATCAAGTACATGATGATAATAACCTGCCTGACCAAAGTCTTGGGGCTATTCAAGGGATAAAAGGAAAATCACAGATATGAAAAGTTAAGAGCTTGATATAAATATGACTTTACTATATTATTATTTTTCAAAGACAAGGGATTATGACTAACTCATTTTGATTAGATCATATCTCTTCTCTATTTCTTTCCTCATTATACTGCACATCAATGCTAAATTATTCATTTTCATCTTATATCCATAGCTATGCAAATAATCAGCAAACATGTGAAATGGCCGGTGGAAATAAAACTAATATTTATGGAGCATAAGTCATACGTTGATTTCTGCGCTGGACATTTTCTACACATGATCTCATTAAATCCTTGTAATTACACTCTTAGGGGGCAGCCCCTCTATTCCTTCTCCAGCACGCTGGTTCTTAAGGAAGGAGTACAGTTACTGATCACACAGAGTCCTTCTATTTTTCTCCTTCATTAGTCCTCCAAAGCAAGTCCATAATACTGTCTTTCATTTTGCCCCATTCAGAACGTTTTAGAGATTGTAGAAATGACCTCGTATTAATCTTGTTCATTTTTTTTTACCTTCAGGCCATTCTATAGCCCAAAAAAATCCCACAAATATCCATCTATTGTTCTCTTTAAAATCTCTAGAGAAAGAAACCTGCTTGTTTGACATGTCATACCACATTGGTTCAGTGCCTGCAGTATCTTCCTTATATTTTGCTTTGTATATATTTATGTCTTGGCTCTTCAAGTTAAATCAAAATGCTTCAAAAGTAGATATAACACCTTTCATAAAATATGAAATAATGAATCTGTTGCTTTTTCTCATATGCACGCATACTTGCACACAACATACATGCCATATACACTCAGATGCATAGAGTTAAATCAGTCTTTAGATGATTAACCTTAATTTGGTCTGTTTGGATACTATGGCTAATTCCAATGATTCTGATATAAACTGACATTCTTAAGGGATACCATTTTTTTTTTAAAGTTGGCTTCCCATCCAGCATGGAGTCCAATGCAGGGTCTGAACTCATGTCCCTGCGATCAAGACCTGAGCTGAGATCAAGAGTCAGATGCTCAACTGACTGAGCCACTCAGGCATACCTCTAAGGGATACCGTTTCAATAATTAACTTCAAAGTCACTTTTACAAAACGCAAAAGACTCAAAACAAGATATTTCAATTTATTACTTGAATAAATGCAATATTGTCTAGTTCTATAACATTTTTAATTCACATCAAAAGACTCTGAATGATAATTTCTAGTAATCAATAGCACCTTCAAAGATAAAAGGAATAGTTACCAAAAAGCTTCACGTACTCTGAAGAAGAAATCCAAGAATGCTCAGAGCACTCGCAGCGTCATAGGAGTAATTGGACAGCTTCTCAAATGACAAATTTGAATGGTTGACTTAATAGATAATGGACTCTGATTTGCTAGTTTTTAGGAATCAGTCTTTAATAATTTACATCGTGGTTAATCCTACCCTAGAGGAGCGCTGTTCTCCATTGAGAAAACCAAATAAAATGTGCAATTTCTGTGCGATTATATCCCATGCTAGTTAAGTTAAAATTCATAAAAATACCTAAATCACATCATATGCTTCCATATTCCCTATAGTTTATTGCTAATTTCTAAGTGCAAAGCAGGTAAATAACATGAATTAGACTGAATTTTATGTGTGAAACTTGAGTATTGATAAGCTACTCTTGCATTTTCAAATGACACATCCTAAACAATGCCATAACACTTCCAAAATTCAAAATCACTCCCAAATAAGCTTTATATGTTAATGTGTATTTTGAAGAATGACTGAATTTAGAAGAGCATGAGTCAGTCTAATGGAAAAAGTAGTGGGTAGATAATTAGAAAACCACAATTCTAGCCCCAGAATTTCATCTACTGAACTGAGTGGCCTTGGATATAGTTGATTTATTTTCACATGGTTGAGTTTCTGTATTTGAAATTGGGAAACTGAAAATCATAGAATGTGAATTCTGTAAGTGATCTTAGAAACATGTAGTTAAAATCCCACATCTGACAGATCAAGAGACTGTAGCCTTAAGAACAGGTTAAATTATGCCATGAAACAAATACTTCCTAAATCTCAGGAACATAAAACAGCAAGGGTTTATTTTTCATTTCCACAAAGAGTATTCAAGGTTTGGGTGACTATCCAAGGACCATATTAAATAACTTAAGGTCCTAATTAACTAGGTACTACTAAAACCCCATTCATGTAGGATTTTTTTTTTTTTTTTTTTTTTTTTTTTTTGTCTTTCATCTCTAACTCCCATGATCAGTTGATGTAAAGGAAAAAAAAAAAAAAGAAACTGAAAGGTTTAGGGAAATTAGAATATTAGAGTGGATTTGCCATTTAAGACCTATTCAACCACCCTGGAAAGACCCGAAGAACATATTTTTCATTAATGTTGTAAGGGAAAATATATTTTGAGTTAGGGGAGGGGAGTATCATTGTGGGGCTC